CCCTCACAGAATATGACCACTATGAATGCCACTTTATCACGGCACTGATACATGCACGCATTGATGGAATGATAGGTGATACGTCGTTGTTCTTCGCCACTATCCACTTAAAAAATAGCCATTGCTTCTTCACTCTCCACCGCTCACAAGAGGTCCCAGAAAAATGCCGACAAGACGTCGACTTGTAACTCGAGTCGGTCACACAACTCCAATCGTCGAGAAGGCACTAGCGACGCCCGTGGTGGTAATCGTGGCAATGGCCGGAATGGGAAGGATGTGGTTCCTTCAAGGCATGATTCTGTGGCGAAGATTAGAGTGTCAAATAGTGTAAGTAGCCTCACGAGTCAGCGGCCAATCTCGGAGTTTGTCAACCACCAACCGGTTGGCAGTAACCAACCGGTTAATAACCAACCGGTTGGTAGTAACCAGCCAATTAGTAGTAGCCAGACGGTTAGCAATCAATCGGTTAGCAACCAGCCGGTTAGGAATCAATCGGTCAATCACGAATCAGTTACTCAGCAAACGTATATGGAAAGGTTGTTGGCGAATATTTGTCTGTATTATATTGACTACAGTCAATCGTCAAAATGGTCGACCTACATTTCAGGGTATGTCGCCGATGACTATTCAATCAGGGTTCGGCCGTCGGTCCCGATGAGCGGGACATCGCAAGAAACGAGTCGTGGCATGGGGCAGAGTACAAGTCGGTACATACAACAAGAAACAGGAGATGCAGGACGGTATGGTGAGGGTGCAGATAGGTGTGCTATAGAAGATCCGGTGTCCGCAATTCGCGTAGCACAGCACCATCCGTTAAGTCGTGTATATTGGTGTGGAGAGATTGCGTTTGAATTGGAGACTCAGTTCCAGATGTGGCGACTTATAAGCGACATCCATTCCCTACCACGGAGGGATGACTCTTATGTCTTCAACAGGCATCTAGGAGAGAGTGGCGGCGGAGAGGAAGTTGTTCCAGGTTGGATTTTGCAGCTGCGGCATTTATTGAGTATTGTTATACGAAGACAAACGCGCCCAGGAGGTAAAGATTTCGTCAAGTTCATAGAGAATGATCTCTGGCTCTTTGGCCACAGGTCAAAATGCTCCGTGACTGATCGGTCTTCCTGCAACTGTGATGGAGGTCTGAAACGTGTTTCGCAGTTTGTTCGTCTAATGGGGCAGAAATACAAGAACTTTTATGGTCTGATCAGGAAACTAGTTTCGGACCTGGAAATAGGAGATATCTCAAACTACTCCAGTACTCAATTACTACCTGTAAGGACATTGTTCCTCACCAACTACGATTTGCTCGTTTACAAAAAAGTTATCATTGCTTACATCATTTCCGTTCATCAACCCAAAGAACTTCTGGAGCCTCCTCCCCAACGGAATCATCCAGTCCCAGGGGGCTACGCACCAGCGGGGGCGGCCTATGCACCAGCGGGAGCGGCCTATGCACCAGCGGGAGCGGCTCCGGCAAGACCTACTATTGTGAAAAAGTTGGGTGGCATAAGAATATATCGCAGGGACGAAATCGAATTCGGTCGCATCATTGGCTCAGGCGGCTTCGGTCACGTGTATAAGGCGCTACTGAACCGTCAGCAGAAAGTCGCTATAAAATTGTTCCGGGGACCTACACCCGATCAGGATGTTTATAAAGAGATTATTGTGCTGTCGAAGTTGTCGCACCCCAATCTGGTAAAATTAGAAGGAGTTTGTGTGAACCCTCTTGGAATTATCTTTGAGCTATGTGAACTAGGTACCTTACATCAATTAGTGCACTACCCGGAGAAGAAGATTCCCACTAAACAAAAAATACAGCTTCTTATTCAAATCGGAGAAGGTATTCGCTACCTGCACGACAAGAAGGTGATACATAGAGACATAAAACCTCTGAACATTCTACTGGCAGCCCAGGGCGCGTCGTGCAGCCCCAAATTATGTGATTTTGGCCTCACTAATCACATAAAAGGAGACTGCACACACGTGTCTATGAATAAAAATCATGCTGGAGGCAGTCCTCGATACATGGCACCAGAGTGCTATGATACAGCGGGAGTGATAAATGAGTCGGTGGATATCTGGGCGTTTGCTTGCGTCATTATGGAGACATTAACTGGGCAGTATCCATTCCAATCGATTAAGGACGCTAACCAGATTATGAAGGAGCTACTCGTGAACAAAAGTCCTCCATTCGGGAATCAGTTGGTCGAGCTCATCCAAGGCAAGCAGCCATACGCCAACAACCTGAAAAACGTCATCAAGAATTGCTTTCAGTTCAACCAAAGGTCGAGACCGGACATCCGGCAGATCCTAGGAGCGCTTCTGGGAAACACCAGTCCCGGCGAGAACGATTTTTAGGCCCTCTCACTCCCTCCCCCTTTAGCCTTTTGCAAGTTTCATCGCTCGTTCCTTCTGAAAAAAGGGTTCATTTCATATTCTGGATAGAGTCCTGGCGGCGGGGGAAATATGTACACCCCATCAGGACAGGGCAGCAGCCTGACCGGGGGGTCTCTGGGTGGGCAATACAAGGGTGCGTCGCAAGGTTCTCGCCAGCCTCTAGGCTCCGGTACAGTGTCCCATCTCTGGGCAGATCTCTGGAGCTCATACGTTTGGCCGCCATATCCTTGCGTCCCGTACTCTTGCGTACCACTCCGCATTTGGGTACCATGTTCTCCTGTACCGTATCCTTGGGTCCCATATCCTTGGGTCCCATATCCTTGAGTCCCGTATCCTTGAGTCCCGTGTTCTTGAGTCCCGTATTCTTGCGTCCCGTGTGAAAAAGGTGGTTCCATGAGGCCGCCAGAGGGGTGGCTCATAAGGCCTGACGATCTGCCGGATCTGCTATAATGTTGGAAATGTGTCTCCCTTCTAGGCGGATACTCGGCTCTTCTCACTGCTCCTTCCACCGCTCTAACCAGATGCCCATCAGAAAGGGCATGATGCGCTACACTGTGCCCAGGAAGTCCGTAGTGGCTGGGACTTTGACCGAAGCTGAGGTTTTGTCCGAGGTTCAGGACCGGGGTTCGAGTCCCCTGTGTCCCACGGGACTGACTCCGCTCTGGGGTAAGTTGTGCAAACCGGCCTGGCCCTTCACTCCGGGGTGTCGGTTTGGCTTGGACCTCTCTGGCCGCTCGCTTCTCAGCCTCCTGGTCCCAGGCCAAAGGGTTCACGGGCGAGGGTGGTACTTGACGACGGAATTCCGCCTCAGGAAAGCGGGCCTCGGAGAAACGGGCCTCGGACAAATCGGCCTCGGACAAATCAGCCACTGAAGTCTCCACCGCCGGTGGCTGACACACTGGGTCCTGAAGACCCCTTCCCCGCTGCAGATCCTCCGGCATGCCGGCGCCCTCATGACCCTCCTTTTCAAGCTGATAACCATCACGGTGACCTTCACGATAGTCCTGTCGGGGTGGCCGCTGGTCGTTTCTGCGGGGAAGACCGCTGTTTGACCGTCCCGTCCACGCGCTGCGGTCTGCTCGACTGGGCGCTGCCGCCGACTCCGGCCGTCGACTGTGACCCCGGACGGCAGGGTGAGTGGTCGTGGTCTCCAACA